ATAATAAAGGTCGATATGTTACAAATACTTACCAAATAGCGCACCATGTGACGCTTAATTCGACTTTCGCTACAGACAATCCAGACAATCCGCCTAACAAACTTCTTCCAGGCAACCATCTCCTTCCAGACAATCTGTCCAGCAAACTTATTCTAGGCAACTATCACCTTCTCAACCTACTTCACGTCGTGCATCACGATTATTATCACCACAGCCGCAGCCACAGCTACAGCAAATACGTGGAAGATTGGCATCACCTGATCATCGATCTTCTAATCAAAATCAGTCACATAATCATGACAATAATCGAGATGATATAAAAAGGTTTTTTTTTTTTTAATTTTTGAATGCCGATCTTTTGATCTAATTTTTTTTTTTTTTTGAAACTTTTTTTTTTTTTTGTTACCTTTGATACCTGTTACCTTATTTGAGCTCGTTCAAGTCGCCGTTGCCATGAAGCTGAGAACTGAGAACGTCTCTTCGCTCAGAACCGTCAAATATACCTCCTGATCAGACAGTTAAGCAACGATTTTTAAGATCTTAGGAATGAAATGCAGCAAAGAAATGTTCAAGGCACTCAAGGCATTCAAGGTGAGGATCTTTCGGCCAAAGTGTGAGACATAAGTATTGTAGAAAGCAAGAGTAATTTAGGGCATATTTGAGCACTTTTTTTTTTGGCATATTTTAAGCACTTTTTTTTTTACATTTTCGCAGGAAGTATATATTAGTGTTGTCAAACGCCTTTTCCTGCGTATAATATATTCCACCCAAGATGAAATAAAAGAGTCCCTCAAGGACTACTTGAACGAAAAGTTCACTGAATTCGTAGCGAACTTAAGTGCTAACGATTTTGCAAACCAGTTCCATGGTGTGTGGTGTTCTTAGATAAGCAATAATATTTGACACCTGTATATAACATTTTATATCGTTATCAATCATTTTCAATAGGTCTAAGCATTTTTTATGGTGCTCAATCTCTAATAGCTCTTACAAAAAATGAAGAACCTGCGTGGTTTAGCGTTGCAGAATGTACGTTTGGCAATTTGGAGTATATTTGGTCGCGAAAGGTTTCTTCGCCTCAGAAGCAATACTAGTACTAAGGATATAGTAAGGTGGAAGCAAAGCCAAGAAGTATACGATTGCTATTGTGTGCTCTATGAGCAAGATGATAAAGGCGTTTTCTGGGTTGCAGTTATTGCAAGAACTGCATTCACCACGGCTGCTGCCCTACTCTTACAAACCATCATTGTGCCTTCACACTAGCCGTGTGTGACATTATATTAAATCCCCAA